ACTAAACTTGCTGGGGTTTTTATCCTTGGAATCACCCAGTTTGTGACATAACAGGAAATTGAAGATTTTTTCAGAAAGAACGTACTTTCTGCGCTTACTGTGCTAAATCTATTTGTTACGTTCAGCTTATTTTTTGTAAAGGATGTTGAGATGTAAATAAGGTTAGGGCACGTGATTGTTGGCGAGATTGTAGGTTGGGGTTAGGGTAAGCATCGGGTCTAGGTCCAGCGCTAGCCCTGTTTGCATCTATCGTGACCTATGACGAAAAATTGAGCTGGCCTTATCATTTAGCACTAACCGGCCGACTGGACAAATGAAGATGGCGCTACGAACTACATGACGTACTTTGATTTAGAATTCCAACTGTCAATGGTTCTATTACGTTCACGTCAACCTCTACCCGGATTGACACTCTTCTTTGTCTACATGACTGGGAACTTACAATAAGGCAGTGGCGACGTTAGCATGACAATATCATAAAAGTACACTCTGTGCAAAACGCTAAAACCCGGGGTAATGCATGGAGCCCCAACACCTCTCCGGGCGGGCGAACCCCGGTTTACACTCGAGGTAATGCATGGAGTCCCAACACCTCTCCGGGCGGGTGAACCCCGGTTTACACTCGAGGTAATGCATGGAGTGACCACATCTCTCCGGACGGGCGAACCCCGGTTTACACTCCAGGTAATGCATGGAGCGACAACACCTCCCCAGGCGGGCAAACCCCGGTTTATACTCGACCTAATGCATTGAGAGACCACACCTCTCCAGGCGGGCAAACTCCGGTTTACGAAACGTAATAGTACGTATTAGTATATCAACAAGAAATACTGGTCAACTACTAGCATCATCGCCAGCTGTAGTGTGAATTCAACCACGAGTCTAAAATATTACAATATGACTTTGAATTTTTTATTTACAGCGTTTGACGACTACCTGAAATGTTTTAGCATTCTTACCAAGCTGATTAAATAAAAAACAGATCTATATTTCGTTTCGTTTTTTATACTTTCGATGACCTACACTACGTGAAGATCTGGCCAGTTGTAGTGGAATGGTCGCGTCAGATGTCATACAAGCGACTTTTGACCTTATGACGTCAGACATTGATTAATCAATCAGCATAGACGTTACTATTGGTTTATCCACAGTTCCGTGCATCCCACGCCACAAACTCGCCGTAACATCATCTAGAACGTGGGTTATATAACAACTCTTCCAGATCCTAGTGTTGTAAACACAAGTAAAACGAAATTTTGAACTATAAAAAACGAGACGAAATAGAATCTGTGTTTTAATCAGAATATCATTCTTACACACAGTAATCGTTTATGTGTAGGGTTTGTTTTTAGTTTGGGGTAGGTTATGTTGGGCTTTTAACAGCGTGGGAGGTGGGGGGGGGGCTAACTTGCTAATGGATGTAATATCGGTTACTCAACAGATTTCACAAATATCACTCTAAAAATAAAAAACCGGCAATAAATTTGATCAAAGAATTGTTAGAGAATATCGATTGGTGAATTCCGATTCTTCCGCTGGTTATAAAGTTTAAAGTATGAACCAGTAACTTTAATATGTTTCTCTTATAAAATATCGACAAACCATAAAACCAACCAATTTTATGCTCAATAGAAAATGAAATGAAATGGGGTTTATCTTCCTAATCTTATAGAGGGTGGATGACCGAATGGTTAACGTGTGCGTGTTGCATCATAGGGTCTGTCATTGAGTCAAGTAGCGTGTTTTCCATTCCCCAATTGTACATGACAAGGAGTAAGGTCACCTGTCTAACCTCGTGGGTTTTCTCAGGGTCCTTCGGTTTCCTCCCACTGCTACAGACCCCTACGTGCAAGCGAATTAAAGAAATAAATTTAAACCATATGTTAGTCCCGAAATGATCTAGTTGTGTCGAGTCGACGTTAAACTCTCTCTCTCTCTCTCTCCCTCTCTCTATCTCCCCCTCTCTCTCTCTATCTCCCCCTCTCTCTCTCCCCTCTCTCTCTCTGTCTCTAAGCGTAACCAAGGATAACCATATCATAGTCCTAAAATGAAATTGTTGACAAGGCGTATAATTCTCGAGCTATTCCCTTATTATCTGTTTCATATTCTAAAATAAACAACAAGCCCTCAACATGTTTTCTACTGCCACTACAAATAAACTCGACCTTGACAAAAATAGCCGTGACCTTTAATTAAATCCGGAGTTTGTGTAAATTGATAAATATAACTAATTAATATAACAAACAATTTGACGCTTTATTAAAATCATTCCAGTTTACTAGAAGTAGAGAGAGAGATAATACTCGTATTTATTCATCAAATCAACAATATAGGCCTTGAAGGCATGGTCTATAACGAGTTGAATGAGCTAGTGTTATTATAATCGTCCCTATTACAGATGTATAGTTCATCAACACAGTTAATTGAATAAAAGACGGCTTATTGATAAATATTTGTATTTCTAGCCTCGGCTACGGTAAATATTATTTGGAATAACATGAGGAGTGTCTATTGTTCATTGTAAACAGAAATTTTAGAGCTCGTTTCTATATGTATTAAAATAAAAATTGATATTGCAGTCTGATTCAAATACTGGGCCCTTATTCACGAAAACTTAAACTAAGTTACAACCGAAATTTTAAGAAATACTGCAACTTCATTGGATATATGCAAATTGATTTTACTGGTCAGCCAATCGAATTGCAGTATTTCTTAAAATTTCGATTGTATCTTAGTTTAGGTTTTCGTGAATAAGGGCCCAGATCTATATTTCGTTTCGTTTTCATATACTTTCGATGACCTACACTACATGAAGATCTGACAAGTTGTAGTGGAAAGTCGTGTCAGAGGTTATACGTGCGGCTTTTGACCGTATGACGTCAGACATTTGATTAACCAATCAGCGTTGATGTTTCTAGTGGGATACCCACAGTTCCGTGCATCGCACCCCAAGATCTCGCTGTAACAGGCCGTTCCATTGGCTAATCAACCAGAACGCAAGTTACATAACAACTTTTCCAGATCCTAGTGTAGTAAAGACAAGTAAAACGAAATTTTGACCTATAAAAACGAAATGAAATAGGAATCTGTGGTTTAACCAGATTGTGTCATCCTATATGTAGAAACAGAATAGGGAGGGGCGAAATAGTCCCGATAACTTTCCATCTTTTTTGATTTGTCTGCGATATCATCCTTGGAGGAAGCAGACGTCAACCCCCACTACATAACGAGCACCTGTCTGGTATTAAGAGGGGACAGACGTCTAGTCAGTCGGATGGTCCGAAAACCCGAAGTTCCATGCATCATGCCATCGGCAGCACCATAAAGATCCCCCGACAGACAGAAATCGAAATACAAGGAATAATGTCTAGTCGTTCGGATAGAGGTCCCATTTTTAATACTGTCGAAATCGTTATTAGAGAAGGCAGTTCTCGCTATAATAGTTAAAAATTAGATAATGTAAAGGGAATGTGCCGAAAATTTCAGTTAAATAGGTCCATTTTGAACCGAGAATTTGGCGATTGAATTCTAGACCTAGCCCCGATCATCATTACTAATATCGGTACGAAAAAAAAACATAGCCTCGATTATCCATTTATTTATTTAATCATCAATGAGCGTTTAGCAGCAGATCGGATTGTAATCCAGTAAATATCGTAGGCTAGCGATGACATCGAGAGTTGATTAAGGTCTGAATAAGTTAATTAACGTCTAATTGATAATTTAGATAACATTTCAGGCCTAATGTATGTTTAACGTGTGCGTCCATTAGGCTCATATAAGTCTATTTTATGGTGTTCGCTAAATAAAATAAAACAAATAATGTCTTTCCACCGAGCACTTTGCCTGGTTGTATAATAGCTTCATTATAAAGACACGGATTTTTCTTTTACTTGGACAGAGATCAGACTAATCCATGGTGATTTCAAATATTGGGACCTAATCAATAACACTGACAAGTCAACGTTTTAAAGTGGAGGATGAAATGAAATGTGGTTTAACGTCCTACTGTTCTGCTCCGACTGGGATAATGAAAACAGGGCGGAGGGGGGGGGGTGAAATGGAGTTTAACGTCCTACTGTTCTGCTCCAACTGGGCTAATAGACACAGGAGGTAAAATGGAATGGGGTTTAACGTCCTACTTTTCTAAATCATCCGGACTAATGAAGACGGATCATACATTGTGCTATAAGGGGAATGTTGCCCAGGCGGCGGCGCCATGACCAACTCTTATTTCGAATCCCAAGGTTTTTTTTAAGTGCACGCCAATGTGTACACAGGGTCTTGGTTTGTCGTCCCATTCGAACGACTACATGTTGTACCTTGTCCGTCCTACAACACTGACAAGCGGGAACCATGTTGTACCTTGCCCGTCCTACACCACTGACAAGCGGGAACCATGTTGTACCTAGCCCGTCCTACACCACTGACAAGCGGGAACCATGTTGTACCTAGCCCGTCCTACACCACTGACAAGCGGGAACCACGTTGTACCTTGCCCGTCCTACAACACTGACAAGCGGGAACCATGTTGTACCTTGCCCGTCCTACACCACTGACAAGCGGGAACCATGTTGTACCTAGCCCGTCCTACACCACTGACAAGCGGGAACCATGTTGTACCTTGTCTGTCCTACACCACTGACAAGCCGGAACCACGTTGTACCTTGCCCGTCCTACACCACTGACAAGCGGGAACCATGTTGTACCTTGTCCGTCCTACACCACTGACAAGCGGGAACCATGTCGGAAAATCAAGATGAACTATCTCGACCAAATCAGGAATCGAACACGTGACCTGAAGGTTAGCCAGCCAGCACCCTACTCACTGAGTCACTGTGTCCCTCTCGTCAGGATCTAACACGGGATCTGATTAGCGAACTGACGCCCTTATCACTGGGCCACAACGACTCCAACAGCTATGAGCGACCAATTGTATAAAAAAAAGTAGCGGCGGTGCACCATTTCTAATTAAATTAAAGTTGCTAAAATCTACTTACCTAAAAAATATATATCTACTTCGTAATTCTTGTTAATATCCATGTGTTGTTGAAGATGACACACAATGTCCGGAACTCTCTC